GACTATCTAATGCCCCAGCAACGATCAATCGATTGGTATCCAATCTATTTCGCCCATTGCAACACTTCGCACATGCCTATTTTAACGATATTTATGTTCTTTCAAAGAACGAATATGGCAGATCTGCCGGAGAAATTCACCTGGAGCACACCCGTGTGGTGCTGGAATGTATGCGTGGACATTCGTTGTAAGCGAATCATGCAAAGTTTTTTCCTGTGCTCACGAAGTACCGGTCCATGTTGGTGGGGGCGGAGTTCGCATACTTTTAGAGGGTCAAAGCAACCGTGGAGTGGTCAATGCCACGGAATCAGAAAGATTTGAGGAAATGCGTTGGTTTGTCCAATTACCTGCATCGCTTCTCGCGTTAATACACGGAAATGGTACGTCAACTATCAAATTTGCTGAGAAAGGACGGGTTCATTTACTGTGAAGAAGCATTCACTCAGATCAAGAACATTATGATGGAAGCATCACGTTTTGCTATACCAGGTGACACAAAGCCGTATAGCGTGGTGTGTGACGCTTCTGAGTTTGCAATCGATTAGGCACTATTGCAAAAGAACTTAGAGGGACACGATTGTGTCGTGTCGTTTCAATCGCGACAGCTAGAGCCAGCAGAAAAAAATTATCCTGTCCACGTCAAGGAGCCTTTGACAATGAAGCATGCGCTGGTGACGTTTCGTGGTCACCACTTGAATTTAACTCCGTACGTCGTCATACGGATCACGCAAGCTTGCGATATGCAGCTCAGTCTTCTCACTTGTCATAGCGGATGGCTTGCTGGCGTCGCATACAAGCCAGGAAAACTGAGCATGCTCCACGTCGTCCTAATTATGAGTTAACCCATATTAGCGATATTTAGAACGATATATTCGATGTGATACGTCGAGCGTATGTCGAGGATGATCAGTGTGATCTGATGATCAAGGCGCTCTCATCGAGTGATATAGAGCTCCGTGACCAGCTTCCTGGTCGCTTGATATCAAGGATGAATCGTTACGCATTGAAGGATGGTGTCCGTCACCATGACGTCGCGCATGGAGACGAGCCACGGATTGTGGTTCCCCACAATATGATTTGAAGCGCAGATAGTGTCGGAGGCACATGATACGCCGATGGCCGGTCACTTTGCCATGAGAAGACCTACTAGTCTCTCAGTGTCCAATTTTGGTGGTTCACATGTTGAAGTGGATGGCACGATACGTGAATACATGCGATGTATGCCAGCGCGTGAAAAGCGCACGGTACACGTAAGTACTCTTCCTTGTCCCTACTGACTGTTAAAAGTCATTCGGTCTTGACTTTATATTTGGCTTCCTCTAGAATGCTGATGGTCATAATGGGATGCTCGTCTGTGTTGACAGACTCAACAAGATGGCCCGCATCGCTCCATGTAGCAATTCCATCGATGACGAACATTCGTCTGAATTTTTATTGATCACGTTTCTCGCAATCACGGGTTGCCAGATGCCATCGCCTCTGATCGTGATACGCGATTCATGAGTGGCTTTCGGAAAGAATTGATTCCAGTTCGTGGCACTCGTTTGGATATGTCAACAGCGGAACACCCGTATACCGATTGGCAATCAGAACGTGCCAATCTAGTTATCTACGATGTCTTGAGACGCTTCTATGCGGAAAGTCCCGCGGGCTGGAGTTCCAAGAATAGCTTGCGACACATGCAATCACCGCCTTGAGCGATCGGTGATGTCTCTTGTGAAAGTGAGGGAGGAGCTCGGCAAAGCGTTGCGTCCCAAATTGATGCAGTTATTTGTGTGAATGGGAAGCGCAAGCACAAGGACGTTTTTGATTCATTCTTCATGCGTTGTGCGACGTGTGCGAGACACAATGGCCAACGCACAAGATTTGCAAAAGGAATACGCTCGTAGACGAGGTTGTCAATGCAAACTGTCTTTTTTTGCGATACTTAGTAATAAGAACCAATCAAAAGTCGCGGCCTCAAGCGTAGCTATTATCTCTCTTCATCGGTCCATTCCAAGTAGTTTTTTGCCATGGGATTGCTTATACTATCAACTTGCCAAGCTGGCTAAGGACACATCCAACGTTTTGCGTAGGGCTCCTCAAGACCTACCATTGCGACATCGCGATCTCACAAGCTGAAAGTAAGGCAGGGGTTTACGAATGTGACTTTAGAGCTACGGCTTTGCCACGAAGGTCGAAAATTAAACCCCCTGGCGTCATCGCTTTAGCAACGTCCTCAAAGTGACGAGAAAATTCAAGAAAACTCGAAACATAGCAAGGTCGCTTGGCAGAAGACCCCACATCATCAACGGAAGCAGCCACAGCAGGAGTGAGAGCCAGCAGAACCTGCTTTAATTGATGGAATAATTCTCTATTGCATCCACAGGCGAGTTTTCATAACACCATTCAAAATCGTGAACTTCGCGAACAGCCTATCGATTATCCTTCACACGTGCCCGTCGACGATACTCGATCGTTCACCTCGATCAGCCGCTGGTTTACCAGCGAGTGGCTTCGACAATTGCAACTCCAAATCTGACGAAGACTGTGGAGCAGCCGCAGAAGAAGCAGAGGGGGCGCATTCTCCCGGCACCTCCCCTCTCCTCGATCGACATGGAAGTCGATACTATCATGTCGAAATCATGATGTTGGAGAGAAATGGCCGCGGTTAGAAGGAGCTCGTGGTGAAATGGCTGGGTCATTCAGCGAACAAGAATACGTGAAAGCCTCGTAATCGTATATTGCGGCTGTCCCGATATCGTCCTAGCGTTGTGAAATAGCTGGGTCATCCAGCTAACAAGTATACGTGGGAGCCTCGTAGTCGTATCCTTCGCGACTGTCCCGATATCGCCCTCGCGTCCGTTGCAGCTTCAATTACGGACTCCGCTGGGGGGGGTCCGTCCTTTCCTCATCTCTCTCGTCCTGATTTCGACTCATGACCGCTCTTACATCGCGTGTAACAGGGTTACACGTACACTTTTAGGAAAGGACAGGTCGTACAAGATGGTGTTAACGTACATAGGTGTGGATTACACAAGTTGATGTAATCACACAATGGTGTGGCGGCACCGTAACAAGTAGCCACTACGTGGCAGGATTGCTAGTTGTAATGCATATTAATTAGGTTCTACTATATTAAGAAGGTATTACTTTATTAATTAGTTTTAGATGTTGGCGCCTTGTCGCAACCAAAACAATTACATATAATTTCAACCTTGAACGGAAGAGCGTCTTTACCTTAGTGAAGAATCTAAGTACTCTTGGAGGTAGCGGATTGCGATCCGTTACACTCGTACTGTATTCGCATTTGCAAACGGGGACATCCTCGAATTTGGTTGCACGAGCCCGTGCCCAGAATTGATTGTCGAATACTTGGAGGGAAATCTAGATGGGATCGCGGAATTAACGTACCCGGGCATGAGACTCGCAATTATCCTCAACTACGTGTAATCGATCCGATGGTGCGGAAATACGCGGTCCGAGTTATCACTCGAACTTCCATTTGACTCAAGAGTTCGTCAAACTCTAAGGTGGCACCACCATGTCGGTCGTAAAATTCAGAACGACGATCAATTTCACGTTAGCGCAAATACACTGAACGACTGAACTTGTCGATGGGCTCTTCATAGCAATCATGATCCGCCCAAGCTGGTCCTTTGCTGCTAGATTTTGGCTCGACGTGCAAAAGCGCTGCAATCGGAGCATTATCCAAGTTTGACCGTGGCAAAGGCGTTTTCGCATCCTCAGATTGAGGCGTGCGTCGTCGGCGCAAGTCATCTTCGCTGCGTTTCAATTCGTGTGGGATCACGAATAATTGAGTCTCAGAGTGGAAAAAAGTTTGAAGAGAATATGGGTAAATCCAGTTTTGAGTGGGGGGTTGGCGTAATGGGGTCAGTACCACTACATATGTTATGTACGCCACATGCATCTGTGTGTAATGAACTTCAACTTTATATCATGTATAGTTGTATCGGGGTGACACGTTCCCTGGTAACAGGGGGGTGTCACAAAAGATGGGCATGGTGTGACTGCACCCAAATAAGAATACGGTATGTGGGTGGGTAGCCAGTAGTTATGCATGTATTTAGATTTTACTATATATATTTAAGAAAATATCTACATTTAAAATAGGCGGCTTTGCCGCAGATTAAAATAAATAAAGGCATCTTTTATATAAACGGAAGAGTTAATTTGCCTTGGTTAAGACAATGATTACTCCTGGAGTAAGCGGATTGCGATCCGATAAACTCGTACTTGCTCAAAGTATAGAACGAAAGGTCTGTGACCTAATTCACGTTTCCTCAAAGCGCAAAGCTACGGCAGCCCCGCTGCAATAGTTGTATACCCGTCAATAATGTAATATCAAAATTGGAGACACTTATTAGTTTAGGGAAGGATAAAGGCCTATTGGCAATATTAAATGTCTTTCACCTTTTCTTCCTCGTTCACGTAGATCAACGGCTCGCTGGAAGTGAGCAACACGCGGTGAGGGGTGTTAACTGATGTAAGTCTTCCTCAGTAAGTGCGTGTATACGGACGGGCAATCCCGCTACAAGAAGCGTTCGAATCTTTACTCTTAGCGTTTGTCAACGCGGACTCTGAAAGCCAAAGCTTTCTCTGTATAAAGTGGACGGTAACTCCGCTTCACATACTTTTGTGCATGTTCATAATTACACAAAAGCAATTGGTATAAAGTACATCTATACAGACAGCAAATGATGTACTATAGTAGTATGTACTATTTATGTATTCTCGGTAGCTATGTACTATTATATAGTAGTATTCTAGACATTATTTTGGACATACTGTATATAGTAGATGTCTGTAATGTCTGTAATGGTTCTGTACTATACATTAGTACTTTTTTGTACTATATAGGACACCTGAGATTACTGTACAATACTAACTACATATATATTAAATTACTTGATATGCGGACAACGAGCGTTCCGTCCGCTATCAGAACGCTAAACCTCAGTTAAGGTTATTCTTGAGTTTATTCTTGAAGTTGCCGTACGATGGCGCAGATATTGTTCCACTGTGGGTGGAGATCGGAACGCGATGACGTCGGCGACTTTTGTTGCCGTGGATGTTGAGGATGTAAATACGTTGCGATAGGCAGTGAAAAAGGAGTACGAAGACAGTTACATCACAAGGATTTCGTTACCAAGATACATGAATTGATCCAATTTTGCTATCGCTGCTTCCGATCAAAGAAGGCTGGACATAGAAGTCAGATGCAAGCCGGACATATGCCGAATACTAACGATGAGCTCGACATCTAAATCCCTGAATCGATATAGAGCATAAAAATCTAATACATGGACACTTCGCTGATGTCACTTCCGCTGATGTGTATTGAAGTATGGTCCAGCTTTGGTGTCCATCATTCTTTTGATCAGAAGCAATCTATATCGTTAGTTCTTGGATGTCCATCTTTTCTCTTATAGAGAATACAATACAGGAGTAAGGAAATGAGGGGGGGCATAAATTAATAAAAGGATTTTTTTCTGACGCTGGACATGGCCACATGGTTCCATACATCAGAGATAACGAAAAGTGAGGTGGTCATCATTCTGATGTTTTTTGGCATCATTCTGTTTGTGCAACACACTCCACAGGGTGTCTTACACTGCGCTTCCGTCTCGCAATCTACCGTTTCGGCACAGACGCCGATTCCCAAAAGGGATGTTCTCCAGACAATATGGTT